CGGCGGCGCGGGTGGCCCGGCCACCTCCCGGCACCCGCGGCCCGGCCCCGTCCGCGCGACCTCGCGTGCGCCCGTGCCGGCGGCGGCGGCGGAGACCCCGCCCGGCGCGGAAGGGGGCGGGGCGCCCGGACTGACGTCTTGTGGTCCCCACCCCGCGGAGCGCGACCGCGTGGGTGGGTGGTGGGAGCTCTCCCCCGGCCGGGGGTCAGGAAGTGTGGCTGTTGTGGCCCTGATACCTTGTTTGTGTCCTTCTGCTTCACCCACCTCCAGAGTCTTCCAGGTCTAAAAAGACCCTAGAGGGCTGGGATGCCTGTGGCCCCAGGTACCCCGGGTTGGGAGCCAGGAGGGAAAGGGTTTCAGGGATGAATGGCTGGGTGCGATTCCAGACTTTGTTTGGCTCTGGGGATCTTGCTGTTGGTTGGATGATCCAAAATTCACAAATGGGGCTTTCTGGTGATGACTACTTCAGTGTCCTCTTTCGTATTTTATTGCACAAGTCACTTTTAGGTCATTTCCTGAATTCAATTCAAAGGAGTCATCCTCGCGAAACCACAAGGGCCACGTGGTCCCAGTGCTGGGCCTTCCATTGAATGCGCACTGCCACTCCAGTATTACCCAGTTCTCAGAGGACAGACTTTCCCTTCCAAATGAACACCCAGCTTTCTCTGTTGAAGCTCCCCTTCTGAAAATCGGAGAGCTTTCTTCCTCTTAATTCTAGGGGACCCATCGGTGTCTATTGTTGCGTGGTTAAAGGAGTGCCACTATCAACCAACCTCCAAACCCAGCGCCCAGCATGCCTCTTCCGTGTCTAGATCCTCAGAGGTTTAGTGTGGCCACGGGACAGCCAATTTAACATCCGATGCCTCTGTCTCTTCACCTCCAGTCCCATCACCCGCCATATCCATGCACCACTCAGGTTCCACAGGCGGGGAGGCTCGGCCGCCATGGTTGCTCCCGCCTGAAGTACAACCTTGACTTAACTAGGTGACCTATCCACAAAGACAGTGCGTGGCTTCCTCTTCCTACTACCGGCTCACAGGCCATCCTTTCACCAGCCCAAATACACACACACACACACACACACACACACACACACACAATTAGAGATTCTTTCCTCTCTATGTTCATAGAGCCCCTGATTTCCTGTGATTATCCATATTACTTTCTTTTCCCATTTCTTTCTTTGGAGGTCTTTTCTTCCTGGACCGTGTGATCCTTAAAAGGACAGGGATTTGACCTAGCTCATTCTGGGTTCCCAGAAGACAATGCAGTGCTCAACACAAGGAAAGTTCCCTTTCAGCGTTTGGTGAGGTTAAGTCACTATGTATCCGACAAAACGTATCTGCCTATCAATGAGGAACTACAAGGACATCACCACCCTCCTGCGCATTTCCTCCCTCCACGACATGGGATTCCCTGTTTATCATTTTAAAACCTATTTTCTCCACTCACATTGATCCTCATAACAGAAGAGCATGCGGAAGAATCCACTCCAGTAACTTACAGCTCCACCTGGATTTGTATATGTACTCTTCACTTACCCACGGCTCCATGTTGAATCCGTCAGTTACTTGATAAGGGTTACAAGAGAAATGAACATAAACAAATGAAAAGTATCCGACTGAATTCACAGAACGAAGGTGTGTGCCTCTGGATAGCTGACAAAATGGACTCCACTTCATCTTTTCAGTTGAGTTGACCTCACATCCAGAGTTCTTATGGTTCTATATTAACATCTGAAGAGTGTGTGTGTGTGTGTGTGTGTGTGTGAGAGAGAGAGAGAGAGAGAGAGAGAGAGAGAGAGAGAGAGGAGGGGGAATTACCAAATCCTTGCAAATCAAGTGTCCACGCCTTGCTTGAGCTCCCAGGGACCACCCCTCAGTAGGCAGGGGTATTTTTCTCTGATGGCTTCTGCTGCCCCCTATGTGGACTGAACTGAGTGTCTCTAAAAATTTAGTGAGCAGACAATGATGTGGATAGAAGCTCCACCTCGCTTACATTCTAAGTGGAGCAGGCAGATCTTTAATCTCCTAGCTCTGTGACCTTAGAAGAGCACAAATACTGCAAGCATGACTGCCCTAAGGGGGAGCAGTAGTAACAATGATTGCACTGTAAGTCATCATGATACAATAGAAAACAAAGTGTGTTAAGTCGTGCACAAATTGGATCCAGGACTACAGTTTGTGCCTGAGCACAGAACACCGGGTTCTTCTCTATGTAGCCTTGGGAATATTTGATGACAGCAGTCACCCTGTGTTCCCTGTTATCCATGCCCTTTAGTGACCCTCCACCCACCTTCTCCACACCGAGGTAGTGCCGCTTACACTGTGTCCAAGAACAGAGTCTCCATGCTGGCATTCCAAAAGCAGGTTAAAAGAAACAAAACTACCCTCAGATCTTTTCTTTTCCTACAGACACAGTGGTAAAAACATTATCTTCTCCAAACTGCATTTTGCAGCTCTGAGATCTTTACATCTGTGCCTCTTAAATATCATTGAAGATGTTCTGCACAAAGAGCCCCCACCAACTCAATAGCAGTGTGCAAGGAGATGGACAGTTTAAGTGAAACTTTTCTAAAATTTCATGTTTTCCCACACAGTTTCCCTTGGGCTTCTTAAAGCCACGTTTAAATATCATTTTAAATGGCGTGAATTCTTACACCCATCTTGTTTTCTTTTTCTAACAAACTAATATTGGAAACCACTTTTGAGGAGACTGTTCTGTACATGTTATGTTTGGGCCTCTGAAGAAATCCCAAGGTAAGGCAGACCAGTGTCGTTGGTGCCGTTTTGCCGGCACTTTGGAGAGTTAGGCAGTGTGCAGAACAGCCCCTGCCTCCCCAGCACTAACACTGGCCTCCTGGAGAAATTACAGTTCCCATAGCCCTGGCTGAAGGATGTACCCTGGAAGTATCCTTGGGCTGTGTGTATGGTCCCTATTACTGCTTTATACTGGGTATGATGACAAGGCAGAACACACTCTTTCAGAAACTGAACTGGGGAAAAAGTTTAGTCTAAAAATTAAGTAGCTCCAGTCAAGCAACCAGCTGAGGAAAGTCTAGTCAAATGGGAGGATGGAGGAGAGCCCTGACACAGCACCAGTGGATGGAAGTTAAGGTCAGCCACACCGTGGCTAGGCAGACAGCATCAGTTCTCACATGTATTCACTCATACATACTTACTTACTTACGTACTAGGTAGCTGCTTTGCCTTAGATGCAGGGGTTACAGTACAGACACAACAAAAACTGGGCTTTTTGGATTATGTACTCCAGTGGGAGAACAGACTCATAATAAGCACAATAAGGAAGAAAAGCACCTGACTTGTCAGAAGACCATGCGTGCTGGATAGAACAGTGTAGCAAACAGAAAGTCCAGGGAGAGGAGTATGTTTGTTATAACTGGGCTGGGAAAGAATTCACTGAGAAGCTTCCACCGAGGAGGATGAGACAAAGCGGGTCCTTGGTGAAGATAAGACAAGCCTGGAGTTGGAGTGGACACAGAGGGAGCTAGGAAGGTGGGTCATCCTCATGGGGCAGGTGCCGTGGGAGAGGCTGTTAGGGGCCGAGCATTGAAAGCATGGCCCTGAGCCCTCCTCACACCAACCAAATAAGCTATGAGGTCCCAACTGTAGCACAGGACTTGAGGCCATCTTCCTATAACTGGCCTTTAGGAACAAAACAAAAAGCCAGCAGCAACAACAGCAACAAACAACTGCAAGAAAACCAGAAATTTAGGAGCTTTTCAGTGTGTCAAAATCAAAATTTGAAAAAGATCATCCTGAGTGAGGTATCCCAGAAGCAGAAAGACACACATGGTATATACTCATGGTATATCCACTCATTTATAAGTGGATATTAGACGGACATATAATATAGGATAAACATACTAAAATCTGTACACCTAGCCAAGCTAAGCAAGAAAGAGGACCCTGGATAAGATGATCAATCCTCATTCAGAAAGGCAAATGGGACAGACATCAGAAGAGGGAGAAAACAGGGAACAGGACAGGATCCTACCACAGAGGGCCTCTGAAAGACTGTACCCTGCAGGGTATCAAAGCAGATGCTGAGGCTCATAGTCAAACTTTGGTCAGAGTGCAGGGAATCTTGTGAAAGAAGGGGGAGATAGAAGAACTTGGAGGGGACAAGAGCTCCACAAGGAGAGCAACAGAACCAAAACTGGGCACAGGAGTCTTTTCTGAGACTGATACTCCAACCAAGGACCATGCATGGAGATAACCTAGAACCTCTGCATAGATGTACCCCATGGCAACTCAGTATCCAAGTGGGTTCTCTAGTAAGGGGAACAGGGACTGTCTCTGGCATGAACTTAGTGGCTGGCTCTTTGATCACCTCCCCCTGATGGGGAGAGCAGCCTTACCAGGCCACAGAGGAAGACAATGCAGCCAGTCCTGATGAGACCTGATAGGCGAGGGTCAGATGGAAGGGGAAGAGGACCTCCCCTATCAGTGGACTTGGAGAGGGGCTTGGGAGGACATGAGGGAAGGAGGGTAGGATTGGGAGGGAATGACGAAGGGGGCTACAGCTGGGATGGAAAGTGAATAAACCATAATTAATATAAAAAAAAACTAAAAAGAAAATTGCCTTAGTTGGATTGGGCATATGGCTCAGCAGTAGAGTACATGGCAAGCATCTACCGCTAAGGTCCTGGATTTGTTCTCCCAGTTGTGAAAAAAAAAAAGGTAGAGAAAGAAAATTGCTAAACTAGATGGCATTAATTTTAATAATGCACATTCAATATATCATTACATTTTAAGAAAAATGTTTAATAATTTTACAGAAATGATGGAGTATCTAATTTTATCATGTTTAGAGTTGACATTTTAATTTTCAGATCAAAATTTCTCTAGGCTAATGAGAGAGGTATAAAAATCAGGTCATCTTTTAAAATTTTCCTCCGTGATTCAGAAGCTCCATAAGCATAACTTTTAGGTTGGAGGAGGCTGTTGGCTTCCTTTAGCCTCTTGCTGGTTTATCGTGCAAGCCGGTGACTTTGAGGGCTTCTCCCCCGCCCGCCCCCCCCGCAGAAGTCTTCCCCAACTGGCATAGCCTCTCTCTATGAGTGTCAGCTGGCTCTATTTCCCAAATCACAAAATGGTTTTCTTTCTTTTCTTTTAACAAACAAGCCAAATCAAACGGTAAGGAGTAGAATCTGTTTGCTGTTGTTGTTAATCATCAAAACCTTTTGAAACAAAACTGGCTTATTTTTCTAGTCATGAGGTCATAGGACTTTTTTTTAAGCTGGAAATGACACACACAGAGA